CCTTTCCCTTCCTCTTCTTCTCCTTTGCTGGCTGAGGGGCTGGTAGAGCTGGTGGAACTGCAACTGGCTGAGCTGGGCGGATGGCTGGGCACGATCACGAACTGCCTCCCTCCTGATACTAGCGTTCACCTCCTGGGCGATAGAAATGGCACGAGCGTAGGTCTGAGTCCCGTGTCCCACGATGTTGTGACGGACTGCTGGGTAAAGTCCGTCTATGAACCGCTGCGCTCTCTGAGCCTCCGTGCGAACCAGATCCGGTGCAAAACCTGCAAGTCTAGTGAACTCTCTCTCGTACTCATCGACAGTACGAGTACCCTGCTGAAGCGCTAAGAACTGGCGCTCCATCTCTGCCCGATAGTAGGAAGGGTAGTACTTGTCGCGGACTAACTCCTTGAACATGTCCCATGTACAACCCGCCTTTTCAGCAGGACGCATGCTCCAGTAGGCATTCCACCAGAGCCTTGCATCACCAGTGAGCTGAAGCTGAGCGCAAACTATGCGATACCTTTCGGGACATTCCATAACCTCAAAGATGAACTCCAACCCCTGAATCCATTCATCAACGATGCGGGGGTCTCCCTGCCCTGAGAACTTTTCGGCGTGATAGTCGTGGAACTGAGCGACTACCATAGCCTGAGTAGGAGCCTGATGATCGGGTTCCCTACATGGCGGCATCTGAACGTTGAGAAAAGTTAACATTACTGAATACATGATAACATTACTAACTGATTACTTAAGGCACACAGATCTCTTGACGAGTTGCCAAAAATGGCCGATAATTACTGACGTGTAACCTGAAGAACTCTAGAGTCATATAGGAAAATCCTAGTGTCTAGATTCATATCTGAATGCCTGAATTCTAGAGTCATGTCCGAACTCTAAAGTCTGAACCTGATTCGAGCATTTTAACTAAAGTCCTGATCCTCAATTCTGAGCATAGACAAAGTAATATGTTTATAACGGAAAAAAAACTGCATCAGCACTTACCTGTCGTCGGCGGGGCGTGAGCATGACGGTTCAGGTTTTTCTGAAAAATTTATGACTGAAAAACTTATCAGAGACGCAGAAACCTGCTCTGATACCAATTGTAACACCCCTCCTTATCGTAAAATCAGAGCGCGCAATAATTCGCAAAGTCTTTTAAAATAAAACCCTTTTTACTTTGCGAAAACTGATTCGGGGTGTTACCTTTTAAAAATCGTGACTTAACTTAGAAAACCGTTGTTTTAATTTAATAAAATCGTCCGGTTACTGAATTCATAAGTTCTCAACAGTTCGTCAAAAGTAATATGTTCGTCAAAACGAGTACGTCAAAAATATCACAACCAGTCATCAAAGTATCATAAGCGGAAGCGTAAGTCGTCATAATAATTATACAGTCCAAAATATAAATGTCCTGAAGACCCCTTCACGTCACGCTCATGCTCCCGGCCCGACGTCCTGACCTGAAAAAAACATGATAAAACTGGGGAGTGAGCACTATGGCACTGTGCTCCGTGGAAACTCATACTAATGTAAAACAGTGAAAATAATAACAATATCATGATCCTGGCATATATAACTGAACTGAAACTGATATCTGATACCGGTCTGAATAATCTGATACGGATCTCATGACATAGGTCACGTCTGAACTGAACCTGAAAGTCTGCCGGCAAAGCCAGACACCATGTGCACACTCTAGTGGGCAGACTAGAGCCACTAGAACCCAGAATGGACCGGCGACCATTCCGAGCGGATACTGAATATACATACCTCAAACATGGTAGCGATATTATAATCAATGTAGTACTTAGTCTGAGTCCCCACCTGAACTGCTGAACTGAAAGGTAGTGCTGATGCCTGCTTAAACTGAAAATTATATAAACAATTACTATTGACTATACTCAGACTGTTAACTTTACTGATAAATTTCGTTAAGATGCTCTATTTAACTTAACATGATATTTAGACTTATCCGGAATAACCGGAACTGACTTAACCCGAACTGATTGGACATGAATTTACTGAACGGAAATAATCCAGAAATTTAACTGAAAATGGCCTTAAAATGATAAACCGGACTGAACACTTAAACATGAAATGAACCGGACCAAACTGAGGCTGAACCGGTCTAACATGAGACTGAACCGGTC